CAACCTCGTGCAAGCTTATCAAGAAATAATACATATTGATTAGTCACACCGAGGTTTAGGGAAGGTCGGTTTCGAAATATAACAAATTGCGTAATTTACCCTTACGGCAGGGACGGTGATTGCATGAGTTCAGGTACGATATACCTGATCTCGTGTAACAATTGCGGAGATGAATATATTGGCGAAACGGGCACCTTTGTGTATCCGTATAAAAGAACACCTAGATGGCAAACGAAAGTTAAGACAAAGTACCAAATTAGGCATGCATAGGATGCAAAAGCACAGCGGAGACGATTTTGAAGCGAAAGTCAATATCCTTGCACACGAGACTAAAACACCAGCGCGAAAACTCCTTGAGGCTTTTTGGATAAATGCCAACGAATGCCCAGAGGTCATGCGCGACCTGACCCCGTATGTTCGCATCAATTTCTGATGTGGGATTGTGTAGTCACCAACCATATGCGACTATAATCAGCTGTTCTAAACTTCCTCATTGGAAGTCACGAAAAAGCGGTGGGTTTTTCGAGAAGTTGTTGATCGTGTAATTACCAAAGAGTTTTTCGTCTTTGTGTAAGTGTTATTGAAGCGTTTGGCCTAGTAGATTGTATATCAGTATACCCTTCCAGACTCTGAAGGAGGCGATACTGCCGAAACGTCAGCTAGCGTTGTATTGTATTGTGTTTTTCTATGGAAGTAAATGTATTCCGTTTAAAAACCTCGCGATTGCTGAACATGAAAACGACGCATTCCTTCATACTTTGTAATCATTTGTATGCAATACAGGTGTTGTTCCATGCATTGGTAGCGAAATGTTATTTCCAGTATCTAGGAAATTACAAAAATCTGTTTATGCTAAGCGTTTATTCTTTAGGCGGAGAGACTGTTGCTGATAAAGGAATATCGTGAACATAGATATCTCTGCTGCATTGGAACACTGAATTTCGACACTTTGAAACATCTCGCTGCTACAGGGTGGCAAATCGTTTCCACATTATATGCCTAATTTTCAACTCTTCCTATAGTAACAGAGCTTTGAGGCTCACTGGTTAGAGAAAGCATGCACTATAAGTAGCATTGCTGATTTGACTGTGCATAGTTTCAATCAAGCCTCCCAACCACGAGGTTGGCAAATTCGTACCAGAGTTGGCTGAGGAAAATATTCTCCGATCGAGATACTCTCTGGTAGGGCCATCCCAAAGCTCCAGTGATAATCAATTTGCCAAGAATTCACCGACATTCATAAAAAGTCAAACTCCTCAAGTAGCAGATACAACAGCGAACTTATGGATGATTTGCTGGGATTCGCACAAAATGTGAAGTTTTCTTTTACAAAGGAAGACGGTATAGGCAAATATGAGCGATATATTAGGAAATCCATCGTATCATGCTGAACGAATTCTTCCTTGTTCATTTGCTTTCGTTTTCAAAATTTATGCCTTGAAGTAACAAAGTGTTTGCAGTGTATTTCATGGGTTCCAACAGTATTTCAAGCAGTGAAACAAGAGAAGGTATAATGATTGCTCTATACGTCAGCGTACATGAGGCTAGTATCAATATCGCATGTGTCAAATGTATTGTAATCATATTATATTTTGTATTATTCTATTACACAGTAGATATCATGCTGTATCTATTTATACACGCGTTCACATAATTTCTTACCGCATATTCGTAGCTGGGAGGTGTTTCTCCGTATCGGACTGCGATGTACAACGGGGAGAATCGCCCTCCAGCAGGGCCTCCAAAGCTGAGGAGTCAGGCGATTCCATCAGCAAGCCTACCTAAGAGTAAGCCAAGACCAGGAACCACTACCGTCCTGGAATCAAACGCATGGCGCTTAATATCCCTCTGATTCACAAGTGCGACGACTGCCTGTGCTGATGATGACCTGGGCAGAATTTGACCAAGCAGGCTACCCTCGGAACCTCAGGGAACTACAATGGCTAAATCAGGAAAACTCCGAAAAAAATAAAAATTACGCTGAGACCGCACAACAGGTGAGGATGGACCACCAAAGTACCCAAGTTTACGTGATTCATGTATTGTTTTAGGATCAAGTTCATGTTGAAGAATTTTCATTGGTTCCACAACCTAAGCGCCAATTGAACAATAACTTAAGGCATTTCTCGTGGAAATGATATGTGCAAAAACAGCACTTTTAGTTCTAGTACGAAAAAAAAGCATTTGGCCTTTTGCAAACGCAATGTTCTAGGTTATGACGGTTTCCTTTCAATGTTAGTTTGAGTTTGAAAAACTAATTCATTCTCTACTACAAGTCCACTTAAATCTGTTAAAATCGTTAGGAAAGGATACCTTTTGATATTCCACTACTCTACTGCAAATTTATTCTAGGTATTATACAGGAACTGCTGATGGAAAAATCTCATTTAGAAGAAAAGCGAGAGGAATGGATTCAGGCGCTACGTGCTTTCAACAATGCTCTTCGTGTCGTTTCTGAGTTCAGCATGTCAACGCTTGGAGGCACTACTCCTCCACTTCCGCCAGGTGGTTACAAGTATGTGGTCACCGCTACCTATTGGGATATTCATAAACTGTGTAATTGGATATGAACAGTAAGTAATTGAGGTTTGTTATCCATTTGTTCCCTTGGCAATTATCCTTGGGGTTATCTCCTCTGTCCAGCTTCCTCCGATCCAGGTGGAAGACACACTCAACATTCACCATGACCATGCCTTTAAATTATCGACTGAGAAATTATCTAGAGGACACCTCTCCCTGAACGAGCTTATGATAGAACTTCTGCATTAGATAAGATAGCAACTGATTACAAGAAATATAGGAAAGAAACCGGAGCACTAGAATAAAACACCGAAAAGAGATTGACCTTTATATAGTTCGTAGCTGCCCTATCATCTCCATATAAACGATTCCCATAGAGGTAATGCTGTCGCGAATGTGTTAATGTCACTTTTTCACTCGGTATTGTAAGTGCTTCTTTTCGCTAATTCATTGGAAGAACATTCATTCAAGGATACTGGACACTTTTATTGCATTTACTGCTGATACACACATTTAACATTCCAGTTAGACACGCCTATAGAACCGTTTCCCGACAATACCATTAGTTTCCATTTTCTGAAAGGATAACATCAGAATTTAAAGCATGCACACAAACGTCAAGGTCTTGCTGAATTCAAAGGGAAGGCCAGATATTCGGTATTGTTGTGATTTCCGTGATCCATTCATTGGCCGCAAATGGTCTACAGATTGACTCGTTATCAAAACCACTACTTTCGTAGTCGCAACAAACGCTTTTTTCTTAATGTTTAACGTTTTGTTTTCTGCCTTCTATAATTTTCATGGGTCCTTTAGCTTAACTGGGTTCTATGCCGATTTGCGCTCCCCAGATCAACCCCGCTGACGGGTGATTGCTGTGGCAAAAAGATCGATAGAAATAGCTGAGAGACGTGCGAAACAAAGGACCCGCATGGTGTGGTGGTGAACGCGTTACTCCCCGGAAAGGATAATAGCGCGTTCGTTCCCCAACATAGACACCTGCGGTCCAGAGTTTTGCAAATATCTCAGCAACGTTGTGGTTGTATTTCGCTTTTTTCTTAGTTGCACATGCAGGCTTAGAAGAAAATTTACTTACCACGAGTAGATACTCCTTTCCGTTTTTTGTTGTGATAGAATACTCATAGGTATCCGCCTTGAATTCACCGTTTTCTATGGGGATGTGCTTTTCAAAAAGGACGTCTCCAACAAGGTCAAATGTGATCTAAAGCATTTCTTTTCATAGTTTATGGTTAGATGTAACAATTCACTCACTCCGCACCATGGATTACTGTCAGCTGCTTGCGCATTTTCGCAAACACAAGAAAACGTTGTACCTTATGCTTCGTGGAGTCGATTCCTTCACCAATAAACTCTTTTCCCAACTCGACGTCTTTGTAGAAGACATCCTTCTTCGATGTTAGATTTGCGTAGTCAAACTTCCCAGGTTTGCTACTCTTTTTGAACTCCTTCTTGAACGTAGCAAAAGTCACCAGTTTACGTGTAAACCAACCATATCCTAAAAGGAGAACCCGTGAGAGCTACCAAGTTGCAATGAAAAAATTCCATGGTAATGAGTTTCTGAATCAGCCACATGCAGGCAGTATGCGAATACTTTCTTACCTAGAGGATATAGATGTCAACTACTGTAAGTCAATGTTTCATTCTTGAGTAGGCAAAAGGCTGTCAAGAACAAGATTTATTCAATACTGGCTAGCGTTTCGGCTGCCTCGGCTTGTTCAGAGTGTAGACGTGTGAAATTGGCACACAATCCAACTTTTCAAACACTTTGACACCTTCAGAAGATAGGAAATTAATGCACAAATTTTCACTTGCATAATAAGTAGCCTCCTTTAAACATTCATAGTTTTGTTCCTTGTATGTTTTCTAGTTGTCTGGTGGAAAATAGCCCTACAGAGTCTCATATGGACGAGGAATGTGCCTGGTTCAGCCCATAGAATCAGCCTAAGGTATGGTGAGAGCTCTCACGTGGCCACAATGCTCTACTCCTTGCGGTTCGTTTCTGGATTTCTCGAAATTCTTCCAAACGCTTCAGGACTCGCACGCGCTGATATTTTGGATCCCTGTGCGAGATTAGTGACCTTTACTTCGAAATCTTCTCCGCTATATCTCTGTGACCTATGCCCGCTTAGTGAAGTAGCTAAAACAACTTTAAATTTACCAACCAAATGTTGTTTTATATATATGAGCAACGATCTACTCTTTCGCCAATGCGCTCAGCCCCTCGGGATCTACAAGAGATCGTATATACAACTTAAAACTAAACGCCGAACTTAAAGGTAATATGTAAGGAGCTAAGATTTCATAGCCACTCGAAATCCCTACTTGCCCTGCCAAGCTGGCTCTGAGGAAAGGGAGACCGACGGAGCGTCAGCCATTACTGAGGAGTGAAATGATCAGAAGACGAACGCGAAACCGCGGCACGACCAGCCATGTAACACTTTGCAAAAAAAACTGCGCAAATGGAATAACGAAATCGAGCACAATATCCCGCTTTCCCTGTGCAGGAATGATGAAATGTGAAATTCCTCAAAAAATAAATGAAGGAAAATTTACACTACTAAAAAGTGAGAACATATATCAGGTCATTATTGACACTACTATTTATCATCATGCTGTTAAATACTATAAAAGGCGCGTGTGGGCACTATAAGAGGGCGGTTGGAGGCGCCCTACGACACACACATTGGATCGATCCCCATGCCAGTGGCCACTAAGCCTTCCATCCCTCCGGGGTCTGCAAATTGGTACCAGACATGTCTAGGAGGATAGCAGCATTGGCTCGATACATCGGTAGGTCACCGCGAGTCATTGTGTAAGCCGGATAGGCATTCAATCGCCTCCAAACCATGTTTAATGAAGTCGAGTGCATGGCGCATCCCTCAGGGATTGATCAACGCCGAGAGCTTCATTAACTAACAAATCGTCATTTTGGTTTTGTTGCATATATTTTGTGACAATTTTTCTTCCAATTTTGTTCCGCTATATATTAGTTGAAAGCGTACTTCGTACACTTTTTATAACATAAATCGTGATTTCGATAGATTTTAAAAGTTCTAGTTCCTTCCAGAATTTCGGATGTCGGAGCTGCAATTTCGGCAAGCACTTTTACGTACTAAAACTCGGAAGTAGTACAGTGCAAAACACACGAAGCAACGATGAGGTCTGAGGCCGAGAAGGTCTTGATAAATGCACCCTTGCGACTGTGGTTTGGGAAATTTCGTAGCATCAAATTCAACCTGGAAGATGAGGAATTTCACTAAAATTCTTCTGTAATTAATGATGACGAACTGAAGGCTTTGGAGAGAGAGAGCAGAGACAGACACAACTGTTCGTCGTCCAGTAGGTAAAATCACTGTAGGGACCTCAACTGTTTTGGGCCATCTAAAGACTTGGAAGCTGAGAGAGTTCGATAAATAGATGTCGCATGAATTCACGAATTCATTCACAAAGTGATACCTTATGAGGAATATGTTTTGACCTGCCGCTAACCTGTGTAGAGCTGGAGATGAAAAGGAGGAATCACTCAACTTGGCAGAGCAAATGGCGATCTCCAATGGCATTGAAACGGTACCTCTTCAGGGTTTTTTTGGAAGAAAAACACGCCTCCATACGACAAGCCTTGCAGAAAAAAAATTGCTGATGATCAATCCACTCTTTGTCTCCAACGAATTAACCACAGCTATAAAGTGATGCTTAATAACGGTCGACCTAGAGATATCGGTATCAATGACTGAAGTACAACTATAACTCATCGCCAACAGTTCACAACCGCTTATATGACCTTTTGTACACAACGATGAAATTCACAATTTGTCATCACAGTAGAGACGATAACTGCATGAATTCGGAACGGCGTATGTGATTCCTTGTAAAGCATGCTGGTACGAATGCGTTATCGAAATGACTGGACCTCTTTGAGCTCGTATGAAACAGAGCTCTATAGGAAACTTAACGTAAAAAAACACTTAACAAAGAATGTGTAGAAATGGAAGTCAACATCCTTGTATAAGAATCTAAAACTTTAGCGCTGGAAACTCTTGATGCAGCATGGGTAGATTCCAAATATCCAAAAATAAACTGCAACAAGTGTCATGTGATCACTCACGCCACATATTAGCGCGATTTTTTAAGCTAAGCTAGGCATATTCCCACTCATGTAGGACTCTGTCCTCAAAAGTGATTGAAAGACTTACAAAGAACAAATCGATAAATGTTTATAGAAGTCTGTTTATTATGCCAATAGAATTTGGGTGTTGAGGTTTTCGTGCCTGGATTATGGAAGTGTTCAGGTGAGTGAATTGCGTGCCAATTAGACTTCAACCATTATAGAAAAGATCTTGTTATTGACGACGCTTATCTGCTTAAGAATAGAACACTGAATTATTAAACAATATCGAGTTTAACAGAAAGTCGGTTCTCGGAAGGAATTATTGTTACAATGTTAATGCAGGTAAGTTAAATCTAGGGTGAATTATATCAACTAAAGTGATCTTTTGGAAACTCACCTTTAGCCTCAAGATACTCATCGAAGTTCTCAGAATGATCGAGATCGAATTTTCCGTAGAATTTTTCAGGGAGTTCCTTAGCATGAATAGCGGATGCAATAATAAGTGTTGTAAAAATGAATATACCATTCATGACGAAGGATGACACCAAACTGTTTGGCACGCAGATGCAGATGCACCGCCCATCAAACCTGGGTCAGAGGGCGAGAGATCGTAAATACCCTGGCCCACCTCCTCCTCCACCTCACCTTTGCTTTGAACTTGTGTAATTTTGTCCTCAGGTCATAGCCCAACAATGTGAATAACAGAGTACCAGCACACTGCTGGGCACAATTAGTGTTACCTAGAGATTTGAACATACTCCCACTGATCTATACGTAGGGTGGGAGGTAGGAAGAAAGAAAAAGACACCAGCAACTCCAGCTGTCAATTCCGTTTGACAAAAATATTGTAAGAGCATGTGGATGATGCAGTCGTCATATGCGCAATGTATATCATATCGAAATTAATTCCGGAAAACTAATTTTTAATTAAAAAGTTACTGTATCACCTTAATGACATCCATAGATGTGAATGCTCTCTACCGAACTGCCGGTGCCAATTTACTAAGGTTCTTCTCCATAGGCTGCAAATGATAAATCGTTTTGTAATGAAAACACTAGACAAAAAGAACAAATGATGCAGCTTCACATCATCAACGGATAGATACGCTGTGTAGCAAATTCTTTCCGTCTCACTTCTTGCTAATTAATCATGAGCTAGCTGATAGATATGAGTACATAGTGAGTGTACGAACGAGGAGTAAATAGGGAAATGAGGAAAGCGATCTCCGCACGACGGAGAGCTAAAATCTGTCAATTCTTGTGACACCCTAAGTGGGTGGACTCCAATGGGTAATGACGATAATGGAACATTTAGACGTTTTGATGAACTTCTTAACATTCGTGAATTGAAATCTGCAAAACCTTCATAATAGCCATCTACTACATCGTTTGTGCTCAACTCTCCGTCGTCTGTGCTCGTGAGTCTCCCAAGCACAGAGGTAGCAGCCCATCCGACCTCTTCGACTGATCGATTGATCCCTGCTGCCTGCAACTCCTACATCACAGCAGTTAACGGGGTCGAGTAGCTGCTGTCACATGCCAATGTTCCACTTGTGATGTTGCTCTAACACAAAGTTCTACTGTTTTTGTTAACACTGCTGTAATACATGCCACCATTCTCGATATTTTTAAACGTGTCAAATCGAAGGCATCAAGGTTTATCATCCCAGTGATGACACATATTTCATTTGCCTACTTAAACACTTAGATGACCAACGTTCACGGGTGTTATGAGGTGCCAGCATTGTTTCCATTAGTTTCGTTGTGTCGTAACGGTCATCACTAAATGTAGTCAGGTTCGGGTGTGAATTCAGCTGCAACTTCAGCATACGCAAACTTCGCTCCTTAGTGAAAGTAAATCACGCTCCCAGTGCAAAGTGATTTTCGTCAAAACAGGCACAAACTTGCTAGGACGTCTTCAGGTCGTTATCACAGGTAGTTGTCACCCTTTGTGGATCTGATGGATGTGCGCTGCCTTGCGACCTAAATTCTTGCAGGACTGCAGCGATTACTGTGACGGCAGCGAATCCTGCGATTAGTTTACCGACCCTTCAAAGGATGTAGCAATTCGAATCCCATATTTTCAGGTGGCAACCTTGACGTTTTGATGCGAAATAATGTGGTCCTATTTGGAATTCGTGGGTGTACACGTGCAGAGGTAGGTGTAGAAAACGAGAATCTGCAGGGAAAGATGAAAGAGAAGCCGTGAAAATAACAGAGTAAAGTGAAAAGTCGAGTATACGTGCCATTAGATTTTTGAAATTGGGTCTTCGTTTTAGAGTATGCATTTTCCTCAGTATTTAATTCTGTCATAAAATCTGTTGTATTACAAATTACTCGACACAAGAGGTGCGCGCTTTCTTTCATCCATACCTGTGCATAACCATCGGCACCGATGGCAGCGCTTGATTGCTCGACCTTGCACATTCGCCGCTCCACATAGGCACAAGTAGCACCACAGCGTTCATTTGGATACTGGTCGCACCGTCTACATCACTTCACTTCTTTATGTCATAAAAGAAACCTCGTCTGTCCAAAATTGAACTGCAGCGAGGAAAAGCTCGTTATTATACGTAATCTCACACAGTATTTAGGATTGATCTTTTAATTGTGGGAAGAGCGCATAACCCATTCATGCGGACTCTCTGTGATTGGTCTCCATCGCTGGAAGACTAATAGAAACCGATGATGCGAAGAAACAACTTTGTTTCCAATACGATTGAAATATTCGTTTCGTGTTTCTTCTGTTTAGGTTATGGAGGTGTTAAACTGGGAAGATTGCAGTTAACCTGACCTTTTCTGAGGCTCTGAAGAGAGTGAATTTCGCTGAAACGTCAACGTTTTCGTCAGGAAAGAATAAACTAACAATCGCGTGTTTGCTCATCGAGAACATTTTGAAACGAACCTAAATTGTTGAGTCATCTATTCGTATAACCCGCGTTTATACTAGATACCTCATCAATCTAGTGCTCTAACCACCACGTTATTGTTAGGGCCATACAGTTCATGTACTACTTTTATCCATTGAACCACCTTACTGCGTAATTTACTGCGGATTCCTTCCCGAACTTCACTGCGTGCTTATTGTCTTAATAGAATGTATATGAACGGTTTAATTGCGTATGTTTCAGATATCTGCCGTATCATTGCGAAATAAAACGATCCACGGAGCGGAACCAACACCACAACAACAACAACAACAACAGCAAAGAAACGATTCGCTGCGTCTGTATACCCAGGAAGATATTTACTCCCATCAGCTTAATGTTTGCTGTTTTGTTTGTTTTTTAAAACACTGAAAAAACTACTGTGTAGATGTTTATTAGTTATGTGATCATACATTATTTCTGCTAGAGATTTTCAAGCTATATGAATCGTTCATTCGTTTTCGTTTGACCACAGTAAAAATCCACGAAAGGGACACGACTGTAGGAACGAGTACTAGACCAAGTCCCACTCCAAGGACAATTCGTGGAAGTTCATTCGTGTTGAAGTAGATGTAGTCGTGAGCGTAGTCGCGTATTGCCACATCGATGCCAACCCAAAACGATGGAATGAACGAATTGACAAGTTGCCGCGTTTCCCTGCAATCATTTCGCACAACAATACATCAGATATATCGAGGTATAACGAGCAATGTTTTCGATATCCATTGAACTTCAATGTGGATCACAGTATTACGGATTGAATACGCAGGATAGTTGTTAACTCCAGGAGTTTATCGAAATCAGGAGATGTTGGGCAAAGAATCACTTTAAGTAGTTAGTATTCTCTTGTTAAAGTTTTGACGTATACATTCAACTTTAGCAACCGTTTAACGTGTAGAGTCCCATGTCTTTCCTGGGGCTCTTACATCTAACAGAGGGTTCTTTACCGTACAGGCCGTAAATCGAAAACGAGTCTTGCCAAATTTTATGCTTTCTTAGTATTCATGCATATTCTACCCGTCAGAAATATTCTTTGTGCTGTTCTATCACTTCGGAAGCCAATTAGCCTCTGCGAGATTTTACGAAACTCTAGGCTGCAACGACATCGTAGCTG